TGACTTGGCCACTCTCTTGAAATTTGGAGTGCGTGTCATGCCTTTCCTACCTAGGACATGACGAATCTGCCGCATTTCTAGAGCTGAGGAAGCTGTAAACCGTTATAATTGCCTTGTTGTCTTGGCCCCCGTATTGATTGTTTTCTCACGAGAACCTTGGTAAATACAATAGCAGGGTTATTTGTTTTCATGTTTAAGAGAAGTAAGAATGACAGGTTCAGAGGCACGGTAGCCCGAAGGAGGGTAACAGGTGCAGTGACATCACGCAGGCCAGGGTGAGGCTCCGTAGCTGCCCCGCCGCAAGCCAGCCCTCCACGCCCGCCCGGGTCCGCCTGGGGTCCGCCTGGGGTCCCTGCGCTCAGGCCGTCGGAGAAAACCTCCCGATGGAGGCAGAGGCCCTGGCGGCCAGAATGACCCAATGGGAGCCCCCTGTAGAAGAGAGCAGCTGGGGATGGGGCCGCGAGGACCTTGCATGAGTATTTCCAGGAAGCTGTGCTAAAAATAGGCTCTACAAGGCTTAGCCTCGTATTTCCCAATTCTTCCCAGATAAAGAGCAAAATGGAGGAAGTAAAGCAATGAGACAGTGACTGTTTAGTAACTAAACCTAAGTTATCAAACAGTCAGTAATAATAAGAATGGAAACCTGCTATCCCAAGTGTCCAGTGTTACAGGAAATACAGACTTGTTCATTTATATATAACATATACACATACATAAATTCATCCTGTAACAATAAAATTAAAAAATGCTCAGGCTTTTTACTGTCGTGTCTGTCACTCTTGTGTGACACCTAAAGTATCTTAAAAGCAATTTTCTATTAAATAACTTATTTTAAAAACAAACCCATTGCATTGTGAAATTTGCCAGCTGTATTAAGAATTTTCTGGTCCTTTCAAAAATAAAAATTGATGTTTTGGAACAATTCTTCAATTACCTTTAAGAACTATTTTTCTTAGTTTCCACTGTTTTCTGGAGTTTTGTGGTACCTATTTAAGCTGTGTCTAAACAGGAGTGGGAGTTATTGTTCTGGAGTCATGTTTCTAATAATGTTAAACTGGTATTGTTTCTGAGGTTTTTCTATGCGTGTTCCAAGGAGAAACCATGTAAAAGCTGTTTTTAAAACCCATCTTATTATTCGGGGGCCAAGTTAAGTGACACACATGTGCCATTTTTCTTAGTTGCAGATTACAGCAATGCAATTGTGTGGAGCATGATCACAGAACATTTAGCTCTGTGTTTTTCTTCCATTTCTCATCAGGAATATCGCCCCCAATAAACAGAACAGTAGCATTAGCAACAAAAACAAGTTTGGTTCTACTTCCAGTTAGTATTAAAAGTCAAGAAACTGATGCTAAACTCTGTGCTTGTAAGACCAGAAATATCTTCTGAACACTGGCTTCTTCAGGTCCTGTAAAAATGAAGAACTAGCTTAGAGTTAACTCTTATCTTACACTTTCAAATAATATTATTTTAAAGCACTGGGTAAAAGCAGTCATGTTTCGGGGAATGTGAGTAATTCTGTTCCCTGAAGTTTATTTAATCAAAGCTCAATCTTGCCTTTTTCAGCTTGCTAAGGTTATTGTTATTTAGTATGCATCAATAAATAAACTTTGAATTATCGTGGTAAGCACATCCAGAAACACCATAAGAATCAAAAGGCAATGGTGTAGCCAGTAATTACTCCAAATAAATAACTTTGATAGATGGGATCTTTGCTTAATTTCAGATGAAATAGAAATCTTAGGAAATATAATTCGTTTTGCTAGAGTTAAACTAGGCAGACATACCCAGTGAAAATGGCTAACCTATTTTATTAAACTTTACTTCCTTGTCTCTTACAGGGATTATAACTTCCTAAAATCATTTTTCCTTATTTTTATAAGTGATTAATTTATAAGAAGAAATTTAAGTCAATACAACATTTTAAGCCCCTTTTTTCTTATTTAAACAATTACTCTAAACCTAAAGCAGTGTCAAATAATTATTCTAAACCTATAGTGCTTTCTTTTTTTTAAAAATCATGTTTGTCCGTTAACTAATGCCAACAGTGGCTTAGTTCATCCCACGGAAAAGAAGCCATGCCTTTAATGTGTGTGTTATGTTGGGTGGTGTTTGTGGTATAACTTCCATTGCCTGTGATTCTTAAATTAGTTTCTGAGCCCTTGTTTCAGGACATTTATTCATGTTCCTTGTGTATCAATTGAATCAAATTCCTATTCATCGCATATGTGTGTTCTCATTTTCTCAACTCTATATGTTATAGTCTTTTAAAGATAAACATCCTAATAGAAATTCCCTGGAAATAATTTACAGGACTAATGAATTTGTAGGTCTTTTAGACAGTTCTGTATTACAGTCCCATTAATATTCTCTCTTTTTTTATAAGGCTTGCGGTAAGTCCCAGGACACTAGAAGAATTTAGATACTGATTACTTGTGATTGGTTCCTGGTGATTTGCTCTTAATAATTTCCAGTTGAATTTAATGAAAGTATGATTCCTGAAATGCTGCTTCATTAAAATTGCATCTTTCCCCCTTTAAGTGTGGTTTCGGCCATTTCACCCATTTTGCGGTGTGTTTTCCTCCCCCCTTAAGAAGCAGTGATTGAGAAAGCAGAAACAATTAAGAATATCACTCGAGTCCTTCCTAGAACTCACCCCTAGAGTTCCTCTGAGTGAAATGATGAGAGCTGTGCTTCATCAAGACTTTCCAGTATTTTTTTTCCCCAATTGATGGGACTATTTTAAAAAGTAGAGTATTAAGAAAGAAATATGTGAAGATCTGGACGAGGAGAGTGAAGGAAAGGAAAATGAAGAGAGACTCTATTACATGTACAAGAAAAAGAAGGTCTCTCATATTTTTTACTAGAAGAAATATGTGTATATATATATATATATATATATAATGCTTGATTAAGTTATGCAGTGCAGCAGTCAGACAGTCAGACTTAATTTAACTGAGATGGTGATTTGCAAATGAATATCTACATGGATCCTTTTTAAAAATCCAAATGCAAATGAGTACAACTGCAGTAAAATATATTTGCAAATGAATCCTGTTGCTTTATTCATTTATTGTGTAATTACTGCAATCCTTCCCACCTTGTTTTCAGTATTTCTTAATCATTAAGTCGGAAGCATGACAGCAGTGCCAGCCCTGGCATGATTCTCTTTGACTAAAACCTTGTAAATTAACACAATTAGCACAGCACCATCCTGCTAATTAACTTCCAATGTCTGGTGCAGTGGTTTTGCAAACCAGGAAGAGGCGGTCAGAAGGGAATCAACATGCCATTCTGTTGCCAAACTCTGCGCTCTGTTCAGCTTAGCTCAGCAAGTCAAAGCTGGCCATGTCAGAAGCCAGAGTCAGGCAGTGAAGAACTAAAGGAGCAGGTGGGGGCTGAAGGGGGCAGGAGCTGTCAAAATAGACCGCGGTGATTCAGAAGGGAGCCGATGCCACAGACCCTTCCTTTAGACCCGGCCTCCTTATCCAGGAATCTGCCACAGGGCGTAAGACGGTTTGCCCAATTCACTTTGGGAAACACAAAGGAGATTAAGGAGGTCTGCTTAATACAGCTGTGCCAGAAGAGGACGCGTTCCAAACCAAGCAGAGATTAGGATGGGAGGAGCCAGCACTGGGGAACAGCAGAGGGTTCCAGTGCCCACCGTTAACTAACTCTGAGTCCTCCAGGGTACATGATAAATTCCCTCTGGGGACTGACTCCCTAATCTGTGAAATAAGGCAGTTTCTAAGGCCTCTCTACACTGTAAAATACAAAGGATTTCCTGATTCCAACTGCTCTTAAATGCGAAAATTCCCTTGTCTTTATATTTTGCTACACAGTCACCTTGCTTCAGTTAGTCATCCACGAGCTGATAGAATTACCCACAGCATCTCATTATCTAGTAGTACACTTAGAGTTTATGCCACATATGGCTTTCCACAGAAAATGTAAAGAGAATCCAGATTCTCTAACCTTCCTTTTTACCTCGGTTCCCTTCCTTCCTTCTTATGTCCTTCCCTCTGTATGTATATCTCTATATGTCAGTATAAAGATATGTAGATAAGTATGTGTATGTGTACATCTGCATGTGTGTGTATATATACGCATATTCTCTCCTCTTCGTTGGAGGCTGTAAGGAGGTGGAAGGATTGTAAGAGGAGGGAGAATGCTGGCTAGAAGACCAACAGACAAGTGATGCTTGTTTTTTTTCCAGAGACTCAACAACAGAACTGAGAGGCAGAAAGGAGCCAGTTGTAATTCATACCGAGCTGTAGGCTTTGTGTGATGAAAGCGACGGAGCGCTGCCTGGGAGATTGCTTTGCTGCACTCCACGAAGCAGATTTGAAACTGTCGTGGACCACTTTAGATGAGAGTTGGATTATGGAATGACCTGCTATGTCTGTGTCATATTGTTCTGTGCAGGGAGCATTATACTGTGCTAACTAGGTGTTCAGTACCAAGTAAGAGAGGTATCCTAGATGCAATCTGTCAGCTGTGTCTCATTTTTACATATTGGTTAAAATATAAAACAGAAACTGTGATGGGAAGAGACAGCACATAGCAAGATAGAGCATGTGTTAATACTGTCCCATGCTAGATTTCTTAAATGTATGCATATATTGTTGTAAGAATCTGAGTGAATTCTAATTCAACAAGAATGTGTGTGTACATATATATGTATTTCCGTGTGTGTATAGCCAGTAACTCTATAGGCTTAATGGAAATAGATTTGTCTGTTGCTTTAAAAACAAAAGAATTTTAGGTCTTCTGCAGTCTTCATTTAAATTCCACTTAACTTTTTATCTAGGGCTGAAATTCAGTCCACTTCAAAGGGTACATAGTATACAGATCATAGGAGGTTTTATAACTGTGGAAATCTCCTTTATAATCTTGTATCATCCACAGAAGTTAATAGGTAACAAAGAAGTTGGGGGGGAAAGTTGGAACAGTTCTGATGAGTTCTCTAAGTAAATTAACTTTTTTCCCCAAATCCTTAGGCTTGAAGATGCAGTGGACGCCGGAGCATGCCCAGTGGCCAGAACAGCACTTTGACATCACCTCAACCACTCGGTCTCCTGCCCACAAAGTTGAAGCCTACAGAGGTCATTTGCAGCGCACCTATCAGTACGCCTGGGCAAATGATGACATATCTGCTCTAACTGCATCCAACCTACTGAAAAAATATGCAGAGAAGTATTCTGGCATTTTGGAAGGCCCCGTGGACCGACCCGTCCTCAGCAACTACTCAGATGCACCATCAGGACTCGTGAATGGTCGGAAAAATGAAAGTGAACCCTGGCAGCCTTCCTTGAATTCAGAAGCTGTTTATCCCATGAACTGTGTTCCAGATGTTATCACTGCCAGCAAAGCTGGAGTCAGTTCAGCCCTCCCTCCAGCAGATGTCTCTGCAAGTATAGGGAGCTCTCCTGGGGTGGCCAGCAACCTCACAGAACCTAGTTACTCAAGTAGTACCTGTGGCAGCCACACTGTACCTAGTCTTCACGCAGGGCTCCCATCTCAGGAATATGCCCCAGGATACAACGGATCATATCTGCATTCTACGTACAGTAGCCAGCCCGCACCTGCACTTCCTTCCCCTCACCCATCTCCTTTGCATAGCTCTGGGCTTCTGCAGCCGCCACCGCCCCCTCCTCCACCAACAGCCCTGGTCCCAGGCTACAATGGGACTTCTAACCTCTCCACTTACAGCTATCCCTCTGCTAGCTACCCACCTCAGACTGCTGTGGGATCAGGGTACAGTCCCGGTGGTGCACCCCCTCCTCCCTCAGCCTACCTGCCTTCAGGAATTCCTGCCCCCACTCCCCTGCCCCCCACCACTGTTCCTGGCTACACCTACCAGGGTCATGGCTTGACACCTATTGCACCCTCGGCTCTGACCAACAGTTCGGCAAGCTCTCTCAAGAGGAAAGCTTTCTATATGGCAGGGCAAGGAGATATGGACTCCAGTTATGGAAATTACAGCTATGGCCAACAGAGATCGACACAGAGTCCTATGTACCGAATGCCCGACAACAGCATTTCAAACTCAAATCGGGGGAATGGCTTTGACAGAAGTGCTGAAACATCATCCTTAGCGTTTAAGCCAACGAAGCAGCTCATGTCCTCTGAACAGGCAAGGAAATTCAGCAGCCAGTCCAGTAGGGCTCTGACCCCCCCTTCCTACAGTACTGCTAAAAATTCACTGGGATCAAGATCCAGTGAGTCCTTTGGGAAGTACACATCACCCGTGGTGAGCGAGCGTGGGGACGAGCACAGGCAGCTTCTCTCCCACCCCATGCAAGGCCCCGGCCTCCGCGTAGCTACCTCAGCCAACCACTCCGTGGACGAGCGGCTCAAGAACACTGACGCGCACCTCATCGACCTGGTAACCAACGAGATTATCGCCCAAGGACCCCCTGTGGACTGGAGTGACATCGCGGGTCTCGACCTGGTAAAGGCTGTCATCAAAGAGGAGGTTTTATGGCCAGTGTTGAGGTCCGACGCATTCAGCGGCCTGACGGCCTTACCTCGGAGCATCCTGTTATTTGGACCTCGGGGAACAGGCAAAACGTTGCTGGGCAGATGCATAGCTAGTCAGCTGGGGGCCACCTTTTTTAAAATCGCCGGTTCTGGACTAGCTGCCAAGTGGTTAGGAGAAGCAGAGAAGATCATCCATGCCTCTTTTCTTGTGGCCAGGTGTCGCCAACCCTCGGTGATTTTTGTCAGTGACATTGACGTGCTTCTCTCCTCTCCAGTGAGTGAGGAACACAGTCCAGTCAATCGGATGAGAACCGAGTTTCTGACGCAGCTGGACACTGTGCTAACTTCAGCTGAGGACCAAATCGTAGTAATTTGTGCCACCAGTAAACCAGAAGAAATAGATGAATCTCTTCGGAGGTACTTCATGAAACGACTTTTAATCCCACTTCCTGACAGCACAGCGAGACACCAGATAATAGTACAACTGCTCTCACAGCACAATTACTGTCTCAACGACAAGGAGTTGGCACTGCTCGTCCAGCGCACAGAAGGCTTTTCTGGACTCGACGTGGCTCATTCATGTCAGGAAGCAGCGGTGGGCCCCCTCCACGCCATGCCAGCCGCAGACCTTTCAGCCATCATGCCCGGCCAGTTGAGGCCCATTACATATCAAGACTTTGAGAATGCTTTCTGCAAGATTCAGCCTAGCATATCTCAAAAAGAGCTTGATATGTATGTTGAATGGAACAAAATGTTCGGTTGCAGTCAGTGATAACTTCTTTAAAAAAATACATAATGAATGTTGGCACACACGCAGAAAACCTGCTACATAGGGCGTAGCGCCCCTTTCCAGTAGTGTTTAAATCGCAAAGGGTACCGGGGAAGACGACGATTAAGTTGCATCTTTAGAGTCAGGGTAGATTTGGAGGAAAAAAATAAAAAAGAAAAATGCGTCAAATGAGAGCTTCTGATTTGAAAGCCCCAGATGACAGAAAGCATCTGTTGATGCTCAGTTCGGTTCAAGCCAGACAACAACTCACCAAGGAGCAAGTGTGTTGATTCCAGAAGGACGTGAACCTCGTGTGTCGATTCCATTCTGCTGTTCTCGAGATTTAGTTGCTGTCAAGTGCCTGGAGTGGTGCTTTATTTTTTGTTTGCCTCACAATTACATTGGTGGCATGTGCTAATATAAAGAGCTTTAACTTCAAACATTATTGGACTAAAGAGATGAACGGTTGTGTTATGACAGAAAAACCAGATTTTTTGCCATTTTAAGAGCAACAGTATTCCTCAATCCTGTCTGTTCTGCAGTATTAAGCTAAGAACAGGTACACAGGGTAACGGTAATCTGGACCTTAATTTCTGCAGTTCATTTCTTTTAATGTTCTTGTCTGCAAAAACTCAGGAAAGCGATTGTGATTTGTACAGTACCTCAAAGGAATGTGTTGAAAGCACTATGTACTGCTGAGAGTAATGGGATAGGCTTCAATGTTACTTTATATTAAAATGTATGTTTACCTCAACAATTGGAAAAGAGCAAGGAAAATTACTTTGAATGTATCCAGAAAAATACTGACATGTGATACAACTGAGTATTTACAATTTAAAGTAGAAATGGAAGGATTTTTCAAAACAGGTTCTTTTACTGATTACGGGGAACTAACCAGAGCAAAATCATTCTTTTTGTCAATAACTGCACAAGTTCTTCGTGCATTGCTCCTTGAAAATGAAATGAAAATGTGTTTAAAAGGTACACTGGTTAATGGAAAGCTACTTATGCGGTTTGTGCTAGCGTCTAGAACAGTCAGCCACAGGACCTGTTCAGGACCCTTAGTACCTGAAAACTAGGACTGCCTTTTACTGCAGAGGTGGTCATGGTGGCGGTTTGCAAGTTCTCTCTTAAAACTGCTGGGAATGGTGTCATTCTATCCACTCATCTAGCTGATAGGCTTGCCGTGCTGTTTGACAGAATGCAGAAGATAGCAACCAAAACAGATAATTACAGAACTAAAACACAAAACACAACCAACTAACTTACATATCGCCGCAAAGAACGTCTGCACCCCCCTGTCCTTGTTGACTCCTCTCTTGTACAACAGTGCAATTTTGCTTCTCATTTTGCAATCCCCTGGGCTATAGTGCTCCCACATTCATTTCTACCTCAGTTTTGTTACATTACTCTTGGAAAGTCAAGTAGAAAATTGGAAGTGGACACACACACACACACACACACACACACAATATAGCTTGCCAAACAGGTCACTTGTCCCCCATCTTTCCCCGTATATTTCATTTCCCAAAACATCAGTCGTGCTCACTGCCACCTGAGTCCACCCCCACCCCCATGGTATGTGTGGCTTTATTCTTAATTTCCCAATCCTTTCCTGCTCCCCACCAAGTTGTTCTTTGTAGCCTCTAATGCTTTCTGTGCAACTTTTCATTGATAGCTGACTTCTAGCCACGCCTCTGAGCAGACACCGTGTAGGCTGGAGCTTTAAAAACCCACTGCCCTTGCAGAAGCAGAACAGCCTGGCTTTTTGAATGTATTTTTCGTGGGGTTTTTTTGTGTTTTTTTTTCCTTCCTTTTTTTTTTAGTTGAGAAATTCAGTAACAAAACTGTTGCAAAGCACTGGCATTTTATGTATTCAAAAAGTGGTGTACATTACAAAGAAATTTAAATAAATGCAATGAGAAGCCCCAAGCGAAGTCTTGGTTATTTTTTTTCCTTTAAATTTTTTTTTTTTACTGATTTCATCTGCAATGTCAAATGCTGTGAAACACTTAGCATAGAGAAAGCTAGAATTTTGTGAGATTTCTGATATTTTCTGATGCTTGATTGTGACTCCCCTGTTCTTTTCTATATTGCTGAAAACACAGCAAATGCATTTAATTTACTCTGATACTCTATCAGTTCAAACCGTGCTTACATATAAATATTCCATTTTAAAAAGCAGTGCCTTTCATTAAGGATACAAAAAATAATTATTTGAGTATGTCCTCAGCTTTTCACAAGTGAATAAACGTTGCACTGTCTTCTGGCTCTACCCTGCCCATCCCTTATTGTAAGAAAATTTGAATATCCCCATTAACCTGGAGGTTTATGCTGATCTCACTGACAAGTTTACTTTTGCACAGTGCTGACCTATTTTCTGTCTTTTAGACATTACATTTCATTTCCGCCAACATGCTGTGTTCAACTGAAAGCAACTGGCAAGTTTTGATAAACCCGCTCTTATTTAGACAACTTTGGAAAACCCAGTCTTGACCCACACTTTTTGTGGCTCGTAAGAGTTAATGCCAAATATATGACTGCACTATTGTGTTTCATACTCATTTATAGAACTGAAAATAAATTATTAGATTCATACATATTGGCTTTTAGCCTTAAATGACTTAAAAATTACTTTGGGATATGAGTGGTCAAAAACCCATGTATTTAGTCAGAAGCTAAAGTCATGTGTGAATTTCATTTAACCTTATGAATTCGAGGATTTGATCTCTTAGGAAATTGGGCATGCTGAAGAAATGAATGAAGATCTGTTGGGGGAGAGAAGGCTGACCTTGGAGTAGATCGTGCTCTCCTGTGATTCTTTGATTCTTTATGGCAGCATTATGAGCTCTTCTGTGGGCTAGTCTAATAATGAGCTCTTTTCTGACCATCCCCTTTTGGAGCCTGGGCAGGGGGCGGGGTACCCCATCCTGAGAAATGAATGTGTACAATCAGTGATAGTACAACTAACTGAGTGATCAGGCTTCATACTCGGTCTCTTTCTGACTGCTAAGAATTTGGAGAAGGTTAGTAAGGAAGGTAAAGTAATGAGCCAGTCCAAATCCCTTGCCGTCTGGCCAGCAGATTTGAGCCAGTCCACTTCACAGCGTCTAATTCTCTTACGCACAACTGCAATAACATTTCCAACAGGGACAAAAAAGGAAGTGAAGAAAAAACTACTTCAGCACAAGGATCAATAGAAATTCAAGAGGTAGGTCATAATGACCTTACATGTGACCCAAGTGGAAATACTCCACACTTCTGGCATGCTTCTCACCAAAATATTTAGAACATTAATGACAATATGGAAAACTTTGCTGACTGAGCTGATCAATGGAATGTGAAGCCAGTATACTTTAAGGCTATTTACTTTCACACAGAATGTTTATCTATTAGTCAGTTTGTATTACACTCAAATGCAGATAGACGGGTATAATGTTTTCTTGTGCATTTGAAACCTATCAAGGAGAAAATAAACCATTCCACTAAAATACATAGGCCAAACACCATCTGGGCAAGTGATAAAAGCTAGCCAGAGGCTATGCTATGTAAAATAGCAAGGTCAATTCACATGGGTTGTATAGTACTTGGCTATGCAGTTTTCAAAATAATACATCCAAAAAAAGTCCAAATTAATCCCTACAATAGGTCTTTGTAAATTTACATATATTTGTGGGTTGGGAAATATGTTTTAGAGGCATTTAGATTTTTTCCTCTGAAGATGTGTCCAAGTCCAAACAGAAAGATACTTTGTCATCCCACTGTCTTGTTTCTTAGCAAGAATGGAGTATCATGCACATTTAAACTGTCTTGTGCAAAATGAAAGGCACACAGTTTGTTCAATTTATTGAGGCCACTAAGATAAAGTTCTTATATATAGATAGATAGATATCTCTATCTATATATATAGTCAACGTGTGCATTTGTGTGTATGTGTGTGTCATTCTCGCACCCCACCATCTATTTAAACTTTAAAACTAACATCTATTTTACATTATTCAGAAGCAACTGGTTACTTCCTCTCATCATATGTGCAGAAAGATACATGGCCACTTGAGAATTCAGTGTTTTAATGTGTTTTTTTTTTCTTCTTTTGAAAAGTAAAGCCTGCAGTTGCTGAATCACTTGCCGATTTTCCCATGCATCCCTTTAGCCAACTTGGAGCTCTTAGTATTTCAGAATCCCAAACCGGCTGTGCTTGCGACTCACCAACACATGAACTGAGGCGCACACTCGCCTCAGACCTCTGGTTGACATTCGATTTTGAACCTGCCAGATGCATTTGTGCGAACCAGGGATCCTGCATCTTTAATGAACAAGTCTCTCCTCTTTCCCCTGTTTTTAAATACA